TTGGGTTCCCAATGCTTCTCCACGCTCAACGAGATGCGCCGACCTCGGGATGCTTTACTCCTAACCCCACAAGGTTCCGAGACAGAGCTTAACCTGAGTCTCGGTTAAGAACGACGATGACCTATGTTTCACACGGCGCACGATTCCATGGATAGTTTCATTCGAGATCGTGATGGAGGACATAGCTTATGATAATCGGCTTTGATCATTCCACTAGGCATTTGATTAGGACATTGCACAATGATCCGAACACTTTGTCGCATCTATTCGATACGAATACAGTAACGATCATAGCGATCTCCTCTGGTACCTACTGGTACGTCAGGATCCGATTGGTCATGAACATCGTAAGGTGCTGCTCTTCGCGAATCCCAGCATACCCCTGGTTGGGATGGGTAGGTCCACCATTTCACTTTCACTTAGGCCCGGGCCAAGTCAGTGGGGGGACCGTGTCGGGCTCCTTCCCCCCCCCCCCCCCCCCCCCCCCAAAAAAAGAAACTGTACGTGAGAGTTTCCCTTCACACGGCTCGAATCATTCTCAGATGCCCCGAGAGGCATCCTTTCCTTGTTTGTTGGGTTGGTTCACGCGCGCGCAAACGAGCACCGGCCGCAAAAGCAGGAAACTATGACCAATAGAGTCAGACACTTAGCTACATCCATACTTAGTCATCCACACTTAGCTACATCCGCGCGCTTCTTTCCAGGTGGGATCCAGTGTTCTCACACTCCTAAAAAAGAGGTTTAGCACTCTACGACGCTCTTCAATCTCATTTTGCAGTTGCCCCATTTCAGCAGCAATTGCAGAAAGCCTGTTTGCAGCATCCATAGCCATACGTGCAAGTACTCAATTTATTTGATTTGAATTTGATGAAGTGAAGACACTTATCGAGCCTCCATTTATAGAGTGGTAGAGGAATCTCGCCATGCAGTACGAATTGCATGGCTGGCAACTACTATAACCATGTTGCCTGTATGAACAAACAAACTTTGCAGAACCGTTTCACCTAATCGATCATGGTGAAGTCAGCAATGGATTCGTCGGATCATCCACGTCACGAATTGGATGGCAGGCCCAATTCTGACTAGTTCTCTGCACTACTTTTCTGCAGTTCAAATACTCTTATGCCTATTTAGTGAAAAACTGGTTGGCTCTGGCTACCTTGTGGAGCAAACAAAAGATCCCCAAATCACACTGCCTATATGAACAAACAAGGTTTGTATAACCAGCTTACGTGGAAAAGATTCCATATTCTATGCCAATGGACTCGTGACATCCATGTACTGAGTCGTCAAATGAGCCACGTTAATAAAGCCCAAGCTTATACGCATTGGCCCACGGGGTGCCCCAAGAGGGCCCGGATGAAAGACCCAAGCTTACATGAACCATCAAAGAAAGTCCTACAAATGAAGACTTGGGCTTGCTTTGATGATGGGTTTAAGTTTTTGGCCCTTCTGTGGGCTTTCATCGAGGAAAGCAGGCTTGATAGGCCCAAGTCTTCGTTGGTTATTACCGGTAGAATATTTCTTTTTTTTCAAAAGATGTAGTACTATACATTAGATCTTGAAACATTTTCATATTGTTAGCCATTTTCTTTATTTTATTTTTTTATTGTCATTCTCATCATACATGTACGCTGTAGTTACTTCCGAGAGCCAGCTTGTCATTATCCTTACCACTTAACAATGATCCAAAATAAAAACATATTTCAACTATGTTTCATAAGTGAGTTCCTTGCCAGCTTTTTTTCTTTCTTTCGAGCTACGGGGCTTGCTAAAGGAATGCTTACCAATGCCGAAACCGCTGATGTTTTCTAACAGAGAGATTTGAATGACTATATTTACTACCAGTTAATGCGGAAAATAGATTCTTAACTGAACTCATCATTTCAAGTTTTAATTTTTTTTCTTTTTATAGGTTGCTATTTGGAAGACTCAATGTTCTTCCCCAGAAATGAAGTCTCTATGGTTGTTGTTGGAAACAACCTATACCTTACTTCATAGTCATAGGGAAACTGGTAGGTTGGAGGTGGTATCCTGCAGGCAGGATGTGGTTTATCCATCCTTAGGTGAATGCTTCTCCTGGTTCAACCCGTAGCCTCAGCATGTGGTTTGGGATTTACCACCTCCCCGGGGTTCAAAGAGTAACTCATAATTAAGAGAGTGAGGGCTAAAGTTGGATACTTGGCGGGAGAACCAGATGCATTCCTTTTCCTTCTCTGTCCACAGATACCGGGATCTATCCAAGGAATTGAACAAGTTTAAAAAACATGCAAGGTTTAGGATACCCTTATGGTTGAAACTCAGATCTAAAAGCAAAGGAAGTGCCTAATTGGATAGGAAATCTGTCTCAAAAGCAATACCCGCATTAATAACCGGTCATTCTCTAGGTTGATTCTTCTAAGGCATCCGGAACTGATTCTAAGGAATTATCAACATGAGCTACGAAAACACAAAAGCAAGAACGATCGAAACGAGCTCGAATACGGGACTCTTAGGGAACATATGCTTTTCTTGTCTTTCTTGGGGTTTTTGCTAACCCAAACAATAAAATATGTACATCGGGATGGAAATCAATGGGTGCAGGCAGCGGATATCACCGTATTTCTCACATGTCATTATCGACAATCGGGGGTTGACTTTTTGTAACTCGACCGAAGAACAGGTAGGACTAGCCTCAGCCGCTCTTCGAGGGGTTGCTTAGCCGGGATGGAAGGCAGCCGGAAAGCGAGTTTTCTGTTACTAAGACAGCATGAAAGAACCGTCAGTCGTTCATTGGATAAGAAATCTGGAATGGAAAGTACAGCAGTCGCTACTATAATTTCAAACAAGAACCGAGATGAACTCGAAGACAGAACCCTCCAGTCTAGGCGGATTTCTTCCCTTTTCTAGCTGTTCCCCTGATTCTCGATATCCGCTCCTTGGCACTAGTGAATTGCTATCAGAAGTCGCTATAATCAATGTATCGAATTCCTAATTCGAAGAATCGGTCGGTCTAACGACTTCTTATTAATGCTATCCGCCCAAAAGTTGGAAACTCAATAGCTAGCTTCCCTGCTTCCTTTCCGTCCCTTGAAGCAATTCCTCGAACAACAGAACAAGAAAGAGGTCTCTTCCTGGCTCTTCTTCCTAGTCCTAGATTTGAGTTACTAGCATCGTTAACCGGCCGAGATACGATTCAAGGTCGGAGCAGCTAATCCACACCTTTTAAGAGCAGGAGACTCATACTAGCTCTTCGCTTTTGTCCCTCTTGGTTCAATTAATTGGATAACTCAAAAAGAAGCGGGCTTGATTGCTGTGATTCCTTTGCTGTTCAGCGTGATCTTGAGCCGATCTTCTCAATTCCATAGCAAAAGTCGTTTCGAAATGCCAGGGCAAAAGACGTATGGACTCACTAGCTATATCGCCTTCGTCGAAGTCATTTCATAAAGAAACCAAGAATTCTGCTATTTGATGAGCTGCTTACCTCCCTTGATTTCCTATTCGTGACTTGAAACAATTCGTTATTGGCAAGCTGAGCTACTGATTCTAAGAAAGCAGCAACACCTTACTATCATCGACAACAGCACGTACAGCATCAACGCCTTCACCTAACACCTCCGTAAGGCCTACCATTACCGTTACTTATCTCTCTTTCTGACTGACTGATAGAACCGTCGAGCTGGCTGACGAGTGAGACATCCCTCCTAGCGCCTGCATGGAGACATCTCTGCTAATTTAGTAAGGGTTGAAATACGAGAAAGGGGCTATCAGAAAGCTCGAAAAAGGGCATGATTTTAGGCTCTTCCTTTTTGACTTTCGCGGGGGATGCTTTTTCTTTTTTTTTTGAAAAATAAAACTCCAAGATAGCTTGGATTACGAACTTCTATCTGAAGGAAGAACTCCTCAATATCTGGGCATCCACTTTTCCGTTTTAGTACCATACAAAAGGAAAGGGAGGACGTGAAGCTACTACGGGAGAAAGGCAAGTAGAAGAGGGCTTATGCTCGATTGTAGAAAGTAGAACTCCCAACCAGTAAAATGAGACTTCTTGTTATCAACTGGATTCTGTAGCTGCTACCTTCTTTTTCAGTATATGGTGGTGACTCCACTTTAGTAGAAGGTCTACCTCCGGATCTGTTATTGTCCATGCCCTAGCCGTTGCTTCCGCTGGATCAATGGGATCCCAATCTCGATTTCCTAGGTATACTTGCCCTGTTCAGTAACTAAAGCTACTTGTTCTCTTTCACTACACCAAACCCACGAACTTTCACCCAAATGCATACAGTTGATTCCAAAGGTACCATGGGCATGCCTGTTGGGGCTTTGAAAAACTTATTGCCGTACCTTATTATTAGAAAAAAAGGGGAGCACTTTGATGTTTTTTTGTCGACAATCGGAACATGAGAATATTCAGTTACCCGACAGGGTCAAACCAACAGGACAGAGGCTCTGCAGCAACAGGAGCCACAAAGACGATTATAGAAAGATACCAGGATTCTACTCAAACAAGAGTAGCGGTACTCTCCGAAGTCCTTCAAATAA